GAGTTTAAGTCCCGACGGTGGCAGGATCTTCGACTCTAGCTAGATAGCTACATCGAATTCAGTTGCTGTCTAGGGGAGAATCGTAGCGGGCCGCTGCTCTGATCGTTAGTTTTACATGGTTTGTCCGATCAATAGCAGGCGAATGCCAAAGCAGTAACTTAACAGACGGGCCACGGACCGCACGCGATCTTTCCTTCCCCTTCCTTGTCCTATCCTCATACTTACACACTGACACAACTACATATAAACATACTGACACAACTACATATACATTATACTATCACACATCACGCTACATTGCCACAGATGCCGGCAGACCGGTCTGGAGCTTAGAGATTGTCCCACTGGCGGTGCCCCGCTGGTGGGCGATATCTGGTTAAGGAAAACCCCGGTAGCCCCGGTAGACAGGTAGGTTGGCGCCGAATCATCAACAAATCAATAAACTGAATCCTTCCTTAATCAGTCCTTTGACTACCAATGAGTCCTCGAGAATCCTCCAGAAATTCACTGAAACAACTACGAGCTATAAAGTAGATTATGAATTAATTCGTTTTGATAACAATTTCGACGTTATTTGCTGGCTCAGTTAAAAATTTGATGATCAGAACGTCGGAGAATTTGTGAAGAAATAATAAGAGGAAATTAAAATTATGGAAATACATTGAAGCCAACATTGTCACGGCTTATTCGTCTTTATTGTAAGCAACGTATGTGAAACGCGTAGTTTTGTTTTATGCTTACGTTTAGTGTAATCTTAATGCTTACACTTTTTTCTTCCTTCTCTATTTTAGTACTTTACATTTTTTCAATGTAATGTACAAAACATCATATATTTATTACATTATACATTATATACGTATTTAAGAACATGAAGAATGCGTAACCAAATTTAATTACAGCTGAAATCATCCCGTGATTTCTAGATTTCTTCACTCTTGTTCTTCTGTTCTTTTTTAAAAGAAGAATGACAATATTTTTTATCATGAATATCATTATTTAAAATTAATCTGAAGTTAAAATTGAAAATACGTTAGGTATTCAGGAAAATTCAGGCAATTCAACCGTCTCACCAACTTTACTTTCTTAGTTGGTTGGAATAATGTAGAGATAATACAAGTTCGATTACCAGCTGGTGAAATGGCTACAAACTTTTCTCGTAGTTCTGCCGCTTTCTATCGCCCATTTCTCCACTGCTACACGATACTTTAATCATCATTATCTTTATCACCGTTCGTCTCACGGTGCAATCGAGATGTTTCTCCTTGCTCTATTCCAGGAATATATTCATCTCCCTGTTGCCACACAAAAGCGTTTGAGGCAAATACAGCCGTGAGAAGTTGGATTATGTGACGAAGTAGAAGCAATCCATCAGGTACCCTATCATTTCAGCAATACATATGAGTATCATTAGTGAATTCGGAATTGTCCGGGAATACTGTAAGACGAGATTTTGATATGCAATAAATGGATGATTTTGCATATTATATTCGATGGTTCTGTCTCCTCCTACTCTGTCTTATTATCGAACGGAAACTTGATTAATCGATAAAATTAAGTCCATCGTCAATACCTCGTTGAGAACATCTTATTCACTGACATCCCTGTAATTGATTTATATGTAACTTTTTATAATTTTAGATTGGTTCATGGAATATCTTCCTTTGTGAAAGGACGTGTATCAGCACTTGGAAAACCGTAAGGTTTCAATATGCATAAATATCCTCTAGGGGACCAGCAAGCACAAAACAAACCTAAGCAAATTTTGCAAAATGTATGCGGGGAAAACGAACATAGATTTGTTTACTTTAACATCGCCAGTCCAAAAACGAAATTTCACATTCACGAGCCTTACTGATCGAACTCCTGACTGCAATGGAAACACAAGCCTCCAACCGTGGACAGCTCCACCACCGCGCAGCGACGAGGGGCCTTCCAGTTCTGAATTGCAGCGCCACGTCTCTCCTCATTCATCGCGCGCTTTCGTAACTTCCGCCGTCGCCACCCGCGTCGCCACCGCCGACCTCCAGGCGGACGGCGACGCGACGCCCGGGCTCATTCATTAGAAATGCGCTGCAGGTGGCGGCGCGGGCGGCCACGCTGGTTGGATGGACGCAACATGCGGGCAAAATATTTTGTTTCAGAGCCGTCAGATGTACATGAATCAAGCAAATATGAATTTAGTAATGTCCAGGCAGCGTTATTCACGTAATTACAGTATTATTTATTTACCAGTGGAAGGTTTACAAGTAGGGATTATTATGTAAAAACCTAACGTCCATACAAACATTTGAATTTTGGATTCACATTTCCCAATAAATATTCACGTTTGAATATTAGATTAGCTCACTACTTCTCAATAAATTCTAAGAAGTTCATCCTATATCTCACTAAAAAGTAATTATGTTTATTCTTGTTCGTGAATGGTTTTTTAAAACTCATTTCCATTAGTTATATATATAATATACAAGTATTCTTATCATGAAATGGGAACTAGAATTACGAAAAACTCTATGTATTATGTTGTGAATATTTCATTTCTTAAGATTCCATTTAACATTGTACAAATATGTTGGAGTCGTAAGAAAACTCTGCACTTTGTCAATCTACATAACTTCTGAACTGTGCCTCACATAACGTAGACCCGATTCTGTGTGTAGGTAACCTTGTATACTTCTAACCGTTTATTTACACAAAAAGACTTAGAGCCGTGGGATTACATTACACACATGATTGAATGCTCTGTTTAATTTTGCATAGATTTTGAGATTTTTACTTTTCTGTCTACCCTGTCTGTGGAGTACAGGAGCCAAAACGATCAAAACTTTCAGAAATGTTACGGAGTTCAGGAATATTACGTTTACAAAGGTCTTATTTGGTGTACTGGAAACTAAGAAATAATCAAAAAATATAAGATGCTACATAAAACCAAGAACTGCACGATTTACATAACAAATAAGTCAGAAATTAAATTATATTCATTACATACCGTACTTATTACACATGTACGATTCAAAACTTAATTGGGATTATTTGAGTTCAGTTGTATTGAAGAAATATTTCGACGAGGTTTTTCTTATCAATTTACTATATCTAAATATTATCTCAACATTTTAACTACAAGAAATAATAAATTCAACATAAGATATAAAGTATTAAAGTTCAAAGATTCACTTAAAAATAAAATAGAAATTAATCACGTTCATTACATACGTACGATCCAAAACTCGATTGGAATAATTGAAGTTCTGACGAATCGATGGAATATTTCGACCGGCCTTTCCCTTATCCAGCCCTTAGTGCTACGCATCGTCTTGAGGAAGCGCAAGGCGTTGGCGCCATGTGGGCTCGCAGCGCCCCGGGCCTCCCCGCCGCCTGCGCCTCCGCCGCCCTCGCCGCCACCTGTTGCCGCGACAACCGTGGGAGCCCCGAGACACGCCTCCTGCGTCGCACCGGCCGCC